CAACAGAGCGGCGTGGAGGAACCTTCTTCGAAAGCGTTGACGAGCTCGACGTGGATCAACACCTCTGCAACAGACAAGAGAGCGTGATGGCGTGAGAGATGGAAGAAAGACCTCTCACTGACTGAGCTGGCGAAGATGGTGCCTTCGCGATTCGAGGGTGACTCCTGACCTGTGACTCAGTAGTGACTGTGACTTACGAGACCCGTGAAATCATTCACGAGATCAGAATTCGGGCGCCCGCGCCAGCAGCACGGTGCACGATCGCACATGGTCGGCACGCGGGCCAAGCTTGATCGTTGGCGGTCATGCAGCTTTGGAGCACGGGACAGCTCACAGCAGCATGCATGCACATTCACGATTGGCTCGCGTGCCGGCGCGTGCCATGTCTATAGCGCGGATTAGCCCAACTCACAAGCGGTTGGATCATCTTGCCGTGCAAGTATTTGATGTGCCAATTGCTTGATGTTTTAAACCACGCAGCAAATGCAACACCTGCGCGCGCGACATTCAATCGTTAATGTTCATCCATTTCAAGCCCTACATTCAAAATGAAGCATCTGAGCGTAATCGAAATTAATGAGCAGCCCCGCGGCCACCGAATCTCAATCCCATGCGCGGGCACGGGCATCCTCGCTGAGGCTGCGCGTATGCATTGAGGCGCATTCAGTCGAAATTTCGACGCCAGAGTGCATGTCTGAACGTTGTTCACCCATTCCGATGGTGCGCCCTCGTGACTTGTCCGCGATTGACTTGTCCGCCAGTCAGCAGGTCAATGTGAATCAGTGAATCTAAAAGTCGAAGTCGTGAGTCTCAATTGGGTAAGAAAGCGGCGTGCGGATCCGCGTGCAGGGCCAAGGGATCTGTGTGAGAGATTACAAAGGTCATCCCTCGTCCAGAAACAAAGCAAGTCGTTCAACGGTTCGCTATCTCCGCGGCAAGAAACGCCTCAAATTGCATGTCCATTCTCGAAAGGTGCAAAAGAGGGCACAGCAAGACGGCATGGGGTATATACCAGAGCTAAGATGGTCGATTACGAGTTGGTGGAGGTGCACGATTAGTGGCGGAGGTGAGAAACGCGAGGTGGACGTGATTGCAGTGTGCCTGGTAGTAAGGAGAAGAGCGGTCTAAAAGAGCGAGGTGCAGGAGGGCCAAGGTGCTTGAGCGGCGCCACTTTGTGCATATAGAATGATAGTCGTGAGTGAGTGCTGAGAGATGAATCAGAGCCACACGCGTCTTTTCAAGCCCTCAATGAGCGGTGCGAACAGTCCAGCATTGGCCTTAGCCTGAGCTAGACTTTGAATCGTTTCCTCCTTGACAAACGCATCTGCTTCGCTCGTGCGATCCTCTTCATTTTCATCAGTCGGATTGACTGCGTTCGCAGCGCCCGGATCGCAAGCGCCAGCATCGGCGCACTGCTCTACGACCAGCGCGACGATGCGGTTGACGATATCGTGCGAGGTGAGGGGCGTATCGGCTGATGATTCGTCTGGACTCTTGATGCTATCCGCTTTATCAGTCGAGCCTGTCTTGCCCGACGAGCGCCAAAAGCGTCGAGAAGGAACCGACGACGTGGCAGCTTCTGAAGGCTCGGGCGCATCGAGTGTGCCCACGAAGTCATCCGCCACAGCTCGAAAGGCTACGAAGTGCTGATCTCCGAGTGAGCCACTCTTTCCGGCCGCTTCAGCAGGAGCGGCAACGTTTCGCATGCTAGTGGCAGAGTTGACGCGAGTCTCTCCTTCAATATAGCGAACAATAAGACCCCAGTGCTTCTCTGGATGGTAGCCTTCATGTGGCGCCAAGATATAGGTTCCTTTTTGGATACTTGTGATATCTCCCAGGCGAATGCGAGAATATTCTGACAGTTTCTCCGCGGTAAAGTCCCAGCCACATGAGTAGAGCGCTTTGGAGGTGAGCAATACGACTTTTTCTTCGAGCTTTGCGGATTGGACGCGGTTGGGTTCGATTGGCGACATGAGCGTCCAGCCCGCAAGCTTGATCTCATCTTCCCCCAGCACCTGACTGGCGCAGCTGTCTATAGCGCCGGCACGGACGCGTGCAAGTCTGTGCTGCTCCGACGGATCTTGTGCCGCTAGATCGTCGTTGTACCTCTCCAGCGCTGCGGTGGTGATGTATCCGTA